ATTATCTCTAAAAAAATTGTTACAATCTAAAAATATTTTCTGGCTTTAAATAACGTGCAAACGATTGATAAGCTATAAGAAAACAAATAAAAAAGAACATTATTTTCTAAAAAAAAAATTAAATTGCGTACAAAATATTTAGATTTTTACTGTTACTTCATTGTTACTACCCAGGTTAAAAAAAGAAAAAAAAGGTCAACAGAATATGCCATTGAAAAAGTTTAGCAGTTACTAGCAGCATGGCCCGGTGTTGTCCGTGCTTGATTCAAAAATCGTACGACTCCTACAGCAATCGCTATCACTTGACTTAAAATATTTTTGCCCTTCCATGCCTTTAAAGGAGTGCCCTTTGCCGTGCTGATGTTGCTACATGCCTTACTTCTTGCCTATCTCACACTGCGAATTTTTTCTAAGATCTATACTAAACATTAAATCTGTTACGAAAAAAGAACTAAACAAAATGAACACAAAACGATCAGCTTTAAAAAAGGATTCGTAACTGGAAAAACTGAATGAAAAAAGAATGTTAACAACAAATACTTTTTCACATGCAACCCGTTCTGCGGAATCAGAATCAACGTTGAGTTTAAGCAAGCGAATGAACCAATTGGAGTAAAGTGCCATGCAGATTTAAATTTTTCCCACTTGTGATGAATGCAGCTATCGATTTTTTTGCATGCTAGTTAACATTCATGTCAGTCAGCTGTTGGCTCTCACGCTGGCTAATAGAATCTTCCTGCCTATTCATGGCAGCCAGCTATAGGCTCTCACTCTGGCCAGTGGAAATGGCCGCAAACTACATGAAAAGTGCCGTAGAAGCATGAAAAAAATCAATTATTTCCACTATCAATGAGAGTTGGGAAATGCAAAGTCGGTCTTGGCCTTCCTGCTAACTTGGAGCTTGTGCATGTAAATTCTGGTGCAAATCCGTCGAAAACTGCAGCTGTGCATTCATTACAGACACACACACACACACACACATCCTGCCTTTTATAGATAGAGATCACAGGGAATGCTGAAACTGGAATCTGAGTACTTCTCCAAAGGACATGTAAACGCTATTCCAATGCCTTTCATTTCCCATGAGTTAAAACAGTGTCACCATTTCTAGTCAAATGTTGACAGAGTAAGTTGTCCAGTGGAGGCCCTTTATGCTAAATACTTTAAAGTATTAAAAAAAAAAACAAATGTTCAGGTTTGAAAACAGTAAAATGTGCCTTTGGTCAGACTGAAACCGGTGTTTCAACCACAATTGGCATCAGCTAATCTAAAACCAAAGCAATTACCATCTATTGATAATTACACAGCCATAAAAAAATGTATATGGTCAGAAAAACACTTTCCGATGAGAACTCATCTCATCTACAGGAAACAGAAACAGTTACCTTCTAAAACTACAAACTCAGAAAGACGTGTGGTGATTTAAACACGTTCTATTATTTTACAATATACCTTTGTATTTCTGGGCTCTGATTCTGGACAAGGATATATTGTGTGGATAATATTTACAGACAAAAAAATCATACAGTATATTATATATATATATATATATATATATATATATATATATATATATATATATATATATATATGATAAAGCCGGAAAGGCTTTCAGTCAGCTGACACCTAAGTTTAGAATTTCAAATAAAAAGTTAACTCGCTCTCTTTCGCCAACAACCGTCCCCGGAATAAGACGTGGTCTTTGCACCGCCACAAAAAATAAATAAAAATAGAACAACGAACACACACACACAATTAGAAACAATAGTAAGTTGAAAGTATACTTCTCAACCCAGTTGATAAAAACTTTTAGTTTTTAATTTTTAAGTAACATAATAAAAATTTTTAGATTATTTCTGATTTATTTATAATTTGTTTTGATCTGGAAACGAAATTCTAGTCATTTTTTCCTCCAGAATTTAGTTTGGGAATTTTTTGTTGTAGGCTGATGCTATGTTCCTTATTTTTTTATATTTTTGATGTGATTTGTTTTTAATTTCCCAGATATGTTTAGAGCATTGTGCAGTTTGCGTATTTACTATTTTTAAAAAAATGTTTTGTGTGCGCTGTTTCTTTGTTTCCAGGCCTTTTTAGTTACTCCTATAAATATTTTTCTGTTATTTTACATAATTAAAGGTGTTTTTTGGTCCTGCTTCTGGGCAGGGATACATTGTGTAGATTAGCAATAATTACAAACAAAAAATTGAATCATGTAAAATATATAAAAGCAGGAAACGCATTCAGTCAGTTGACACCTAAGATTAGAACTTCAGTTAAATGGGTTAACTCACTCTCTTTCTCCAACAGCCAACATTTTGACAATTAATTACCCAACATTAATACAAAATCATATAACAAGCCCAATAACTCTATAAAACTTCAAAAATCAATTTTACAGTGTATCGATATTATGAAGAGGACACCCTTTCTAAATCGATAAAAAATGTTTTCCAAAAATATTTTCCAATTTTTCTTTTAAAGAGTTTACCAGTCTATTTTAGTATCGAAATTTGATTATCATAAAATTTTAAAATATTATACAGCAAATAGTTTGTTTTTTTTTCTTCAAAATATAAGGGAGGTAACTTAGATTCCATTTCAAATGAGTTACTTCGCCTATATTTGGAAAATTAAAATCGATTTTTAATATTGTATTTATATTTTTGTAATAATTTTCCGTCAAATTCATCCTTTCATTTATGCATTTTTCATCTGTTTACATTATTTTTTCATGTGCCATTCGGATAAATTTAGAATATATATATATTTTTATTCTTTGTAAACGTTAGACAAATGCTAGACATGCCATAAATTTAATGCTAAAACCATTACACATAATGTAAATTACTCAAAAAAATAATGTAAATTAAGTATTCAACAAATAATGAAAAACATAAACAGTGATAGCAAATTAAGTTATATCCACAACCTATCTATATATATGTATATCTGTGTGCTTGCAGGATGTATAATGGTATCCGAAACAAAGGTGGAGATGATGAGACGATGTTAAAAAGCTATAAATGACATGTTTCACCTAGAACATCTGTTGCTTTCAGCTTCTTCAGGTGAGAATGAAAGACAAAACCGTGTGAAAGGACCTCTGAGGATAAAAGGTGGCTATAAATCACATTACATTATCAGATCCAATGGCCAAAACCTGTTTAAGTGTGCATTGGTATCAACACAAAGCAGCAACAATCTGTTTCATGCTTAAACACTATTATCAGGCCAGACAATTGCCTTTAAACATGAAAAAGATTGTTGCCACTGTGTTGATCTCAATGTCCACTTTTATATTTACATGTGATCTATCCCTGATAATGAGCACTTTAACCCATAAATATAGCATACCTTCAAACTATATTTTTATCATATATAATTTGCTCCATTAACACAGTCTAAAAGACATTCAAACTATCCATGATAAATTCTCTAAAACAGTGAAAACATTTGAACTCACTATCAACACATAAAGAAGACTGAGCTAATGTACTAGCCAGTACCAGGCAATCCATCTCTCAAAAATACTTCCGTATTCATTGATGATACGGCATTAAAAAATGTTGAGGCGTTCACATATCTTGGATCAACAGTCTCCTCTGATGGAAAAATGAACAGAGAAATCCAATGCAGAATAGCCAAAGCCAGCACAGCATTCAATAATCTTCAACACAGATTATGGAACACCAAAGATCGACAAAAACAGATCAGTTGTTCTCTCAACTCTTCTCTACGGTGCTGAAACTTAGACCCTGTACTACATGCACATAAATCAACTTGACACATTTCACATGTGCTGTCTTCATGCTACATGTGGCATAAAATGGGATGACTGGGTCAAGAAAAGTGCAATACTGAAGAAATATAATAACATCACAGGCATTGAAACCATTCTAGCAAAGATACAACTTAGGTGGGTTGGTCATGTTGTGAGAATGGATGAGCATAGGCTTCCAAAAATGGTGCTGCATGGACAACTACCAGTCTCCAAGTGTTAAGTTGGATGTCTACACTTATGCTACAAAGACAAATTGAAAGACAAGTTGAAATGTCTCAACTTTGATCTGAAAACCTGGGAAGCCTGAGCATCAAACCGAAAGGAGTAGCATAAGACACGTTTCATTAAGTTAAAGGGTTTTGAAGACAGTAGACTGAAGCACCATGATCAGCTTTGTCAAACTCTGAAGCAGAGATGCCATCAAAATCCTACTTCAACAAATTTCATATGTCAGTATGGCTTTCTTGCCCACAGCAAAGCTGGTTTCACACTTAAGAAAGCACAAATGAAATATGTTGTTACCTTACCCGATTTTCTCCACAATAGCCCCTGCTAGGATGCATGAGTGTAAAATGAAAGGCACCATCCACTGCTGACCTTCATTTATCATTCACAATAGGAGAGTCCACCACCCTCTATATATATATGTGTGTGTGTGTGTGTGTGTGTGTGTGTGTGTGTGTGTGTATAGGGTGGTGGACTCTCCTATTGTGAGCGATATAGATATATATATATATATATATATATATATATATATATATATATATATATATATATATATTGAATAAGCTAGATATGTCTATTTTTATTTTAATCATCTCAAATTCACAGATCAATTTCTTAGTGTTGTTACAAAACTGAGTAAGGCACCATAGTTGGGTTTTTTTCTTTTATTTTCACAAGTATTTTCAATCTCATCCAAGTTCATCTTCAGGGATGAATTGCTAAGACCAAAAATTAATGTAATTAATAGTTGTCATTTTTTATGGGTACTATGCTAGCAAAGAAATAATAACAGCCAAAATCCGAGTATTCATTTATTTTCTGATAATTATAAAAAGAATGAAAATGAAAATGCTTAGGATTAGATGAGGCATGAAATTAAAAAAAAATATAATGGAGAGAAATGTCATTTAAAAAAATAAAAAAAGATGTTTTGACAGAAACAACTGGAAGCCAATTGATGGTTGTTGCTGTTACTGCTGCGTCACCAACTGGATTAAGCACCAATCTGGTCAACCAGTCCGCTACCATTCACACCATCAAAGAAAAAAAAGTTGTTATGTGGCTTGTCTTTCTGGGAAACAGCCTGTACAAAGAAAAAAAAAAAAAAAATAATTAGGATTTCATTGTCCTTTCTCTTCTCAATGTTAAAATCCACCTATAAAGATGGCCTATCTATCAAATTAGTTGTTATCTATCAATTTAAGTGCCAGTGTGAAGTTGACTACAGGTAGGACCATCCAATTATTGGAGAAGAGATTCTCCACTTGGCCAGAGTACCAAATATGCCCATCCGCTCAGTCAAGGCACCCAATATACACATTGCTCTTGCTAGCTATGGCAGCAGTTTTCACCTCTTCTTGTTAGCAAGTGAAGAATACATTTTGCAGGCAGGGGGTGTCTTTCATCAATTTGAGGTTCCCACTTACTGCTTGTACTCAGATAATTGCTGTCTAGTATTGATTAGTAGTGTACCCATTGAGATACGCTTCTTGAAGCACTCTTTTGTACAATTCAACAAGTTGTTGTTTTTGGTTTCCTGGAAGTTTACTCATCAGATGAACAGATAAGCAGAAAAGCCAAACAAATGCTGCTGTAACAATCACCAACAATTTAAGCTGACCAAAAAGGTTACTATCACCTTTGGTTGAATTTTCTACTAAGCCATTGAGAAAAGGATAATTGCTATAGACAAATGTGCTTATGAGGTGCATTCCAGAAGTTTTAAGACATTTTTTAGAGGAGGCAGTTATAAGTGTCCTAGATTATTATAATCTTAGTTTATCTTTACTACACATCTAATAAGTTGACTTGCCAACTTTTATTATCCCAGACTGAAAGAGACAGCTGCAAGAGCTTGTTGAATACACCATACTAAACCTTGCTTCTCACAGCTGAGTAGCTTGCATAATGCAGTCAAAACAAGAAGATAATTTGGAAGCTCATTATACAATAATTTTTTGCATTAAAATGGGCAAAACCATTACAGAAACACATGAAATGCTCCAGACTGCTTACGGATTAATTTATTCAGCCATAATGTATATTTTATTTTCTGAGTCAAGCACTGGAAAGGAATAAGAACCAGTCAGCTTTTTCTAATACCCCCTACACACACACACAAAACTACCACCATATACTAGGGCAGGTCAATTTTGTAACCGTGGTATTGCACTCAATTTGAAAGTTGGGGTTTGACATGATAAATAATGACAAAATATTTTTTTTTTTACAAATCATTACCGTTTTTTGAGGACACAAGTTTAAGTTTAGGTTTAAAATTATTGTGTTGAAATTTAATTTAATTCCTGTGACCAGTGAAAGCCTTAAAGCACGGCCTTAGAAAATTTAGATAATCTATAAGAACATTATTACTAAATCATTTTTCTATCAAATAAGACCTTCATTTACTTCAAATGGAAATTATATTGAACAATTTAGTATATACTCGCAGATAGGTCACACTTTTTTAACAAAAATTTCACAAAATATTTAGGGGTGCAACATATCAACTCAACATTAATGTAAAACAACACTACATTCTCTTCATGATTTCTGAGAAATCGGAACTGATAGCCATAAACACTAAAAAACTGTCATTTTTCTATGTATATTTATCTATCATATATACTGATTCCCTGCTTTAAACTTACCTCATGCTGCTAGGTTCACATATCCAACACAATAAATAAATAAAATTATAAAATATTCATTGATCCATCAGTCACCGTTCGGTTGGGGCCCTCGCACTAGACTGATATAGAAACCCTGAACATGCATACATAAGTTAAGGAACCACGTGTAGATGTTTATTGACAAAGAAAAAATAGTCCCAAGATTCATTCTGCAAAATATATATATTTTATCAAAAATGCGTTGGATAATATGACTTAAAGAAATGAAATATATTCTTTATGAGATAATTTTCTTTAATGGTTATTTGATATAACATTAAAAGGCATTCTTAAGTGTTATTTACAAATAGCAAAGCACATGAATCTTGTATCCTAAATGTTTGCACTATTGCATTGTGCAGCAATATAGTTGGTAGCCAAATTTATAGTTTATAATTTATATAAACACTAATCATGAGTAAAAGAAAGAATTATGAAGCAGGTTTTAAATTAAAAGTACTAAATCATGCAGAAGAACATGGAAATCGATCAGCAGAAATAAGAATGATATTTCACAGCAATAATAGTGAAGATCTGAAGAAGAATTCTTGGGATTCAGTTCTAAATGAATTTTAAAACTGTAACTTGATATATAAATAGATAAACACTTTTTTCTAAATGTATCATAACATTTTCTTCTGTATCATTTCTTTTCTTTTCTATCGAGTTGACGCGATATAAAAATAATATGCGGTAAATATAAAAATACCTGTACAACAGTTACTTGCTTTTGTTTACATGATGATTGATGAAAAATGTATTTTAACTGCAAAAGTGTATTAATAATTCTAAGTTTTGAAATAAAGGTAGAAATAAAAGATAGATATTTAATAATTCTTATGTTTAAAAAGAGCTAACTCCCTATATTATAGTGCAATCTATCTGCAAGTCAACAGTAAATCATCAATTATTAAGCCATAAAGTGGCGGGTGGGGCGAGCTATCCGCGAGTATATACAGTATATTATGATGTTATATGTTTCACAGTGCAATAGTTTTAGTCAGTGAAATTTTCAATAAACAATGCAAATTTAAAACATTTTGTCTTATAATTTGTGCCCAGCAGTTTTATGGTGTTATATACACTTTTATCTATTTTTTGTTTTTATTAATTAGGATCTAACAAATTTTATTCATTGAGTAACCTTGTTTGTAATCTTTTAGACAGTTTTTACTTATCAAATACTATAAAAAAAAATTGCATATTTTGCTTGTGGTGATTCATAATTAGAATTCTGGTTTGAATATGTTTTCAATTCAATGTATCAAATGCAAAAGGTATCAACTTTATTCTTGAAATAGGAAAATTTTGAAGTCAGTTTGCAAGCAGAAATGAGGTATTTTCTGTACATTTTTTCTGACGATCTTTAAAACTAAATGCTCAAAAATTGGTAAAAGCTATAAATCTAATTTTTTGGTGTCATTATTTAACACATCACACCCCAGCTTTTATGAGTGCAATGTTGATTTTCTAAATAAAGTGAAAAATTAAACCTGCCCTATTCCTACATATATATATATATATATATATATATATATATATATATATATATAGGCAGCATATAATTTATATACAAAGAAATACACTACTAGCGATGGATGTCGCCAATAATAGTATTAATATTACTGATTGATTCTATGCATGATTATTTCTTTATATATATATATATATATATATATATATATATATATATATATATATATATATATATATATATAAAATAAACAGTCCTTATCAAACACCTTCACACAACCAAAAAATTTTATATGCACCAATATTGGATATGGCAGTCTATTGTGGAGTAAATAAGACACCTTCAGTAACACAAATGAACTCAGCAATAAAAAACTAAAAGTAAGTCAAAGTCCATTGGAATCAGTTTAGGTAAATTCTAATGTCACCAAAGCAAGTAGCTTAAGAAAGACATAATATTATTACCACTAGGAATGAGTTATAACACAGCCATATCTGATATTGCCACATATAAAACTTTTGGTTGCATGAAGGTGTTAGATAAGGACCTTTAATATCTATTCATTGCTCTGTTCATCAAGCACTGTCAGTAACCTTGTTATATTTGTATGCTATGCCTTTTGTGAACTACCATTTATAGTAATTGTATTTTTTTTCCTGTCCATTTTCTTCTCATTTAAATAAACATGTCTCTTTTTATCGTGTTAAACTTTGTACCCACCAAGAATAGCATTTAAGGATTCTTACTTTAATCAGTTTCTCTTGCTAGGCTTAATGATGATTCCCCAAAATGAGAACATTTTTTTAATGATATCAAATGACTTAAAGAATATTTCACCTGTAAGAGGGAAACCCCAATATTTATATTGCTTATTTGTATTAATAAAACACACCAGAAGACTTAAATGTAAAAAGCAACAAAAATGAAAACTTTTTTCTGCAATTGTACAAAATTTTTGAATTTTCTGCAGCTTGCTTCATGCATATTAGCATGAAAACCTTTAGCCAAAACTTTTGTGAAGTTTCTCAAATATTTTCTAATTACTCTTTTAACCAATAAACTTACTTTGATGATTTCCTGTCCAAGAACTCCTCCTACAATGGCTGATACAGGACCCAATTCAGCAAAACAATGGCTGAAAAAATAAAAAAAAGATATAAAATTTTTAAAATATACAATTTTCAGGCATAAAAGTGAATAAAATTTCTCTTCAAGATTATTTTAAAAATTTGTAGAAATCAAGACCATCAATTGAGTTAGTAACAATCTTATGAAATTAAACAAAAGGCAGGCAAACATTAGAACATTAAGTTTTCACTGAAATGTATTTTTCAAAGGGAAACTTCAAAAATAAATTCCATAGTTTATTAATTACAGAAAGTTTGTTTAAATCAGTAATACATTGAATTTCTGGAAATATTTAAAATGTTCGATAATTCAAAACTGTTCCCATGAAATTTCATCGTACTTTTTACTAAACGTAAACAACATTTTAAACACAAATGTCTCCAGTTTTTATTTTTATGCTTTCATAGTGTTTTTTTTTGTTTTCATTATTTACCCATAACCAGGACTCTAACAGGTGTTACCAGCCTGGGCTGCGGGATACCTGGAAACAACAGCAATTAAGAAGTGGTCCTACACTTCCTGAAAAACTCCAATCTCTTGATCAGAGGACTTGCTGCCAGACGTGCAGCCTGTCTGAAGTTATTATGCAAATCAAATAAACCTCAATAACTCCAAAAATTCTGAACCAATATTTGTCAAATTTAAACTCGCCCATTTCCTCCCTCAGTAAAATATTTAATCAAATTTTCTGCCATTTTTAATGGTTAGTTTTTGAAATATTTGGAATTTACAAAAATGGACTGACTGAAGTTAGCATACAGATTAAACTAATTGTAGTATTTATATGTAAACGGGGTACTGCTACAAAAGCAGAACACCACAGCAAATGCCAGTCGAGCTACCATCTGTTGACCTGACAACGTCTATTCCAAAGAGTACTCTGCTTCATAACAATATGGTGTTGCCAATAGAATTCCTAGCCATGTTGGATGAACCAGTGCACATAGAAATATGAATTAGATGTTTAGCTGTGTTGGCTAGGGTAAAGAAACTGAAAGACAAGAAAATCTCTCTGAAGGGGAGAATGAAATTACTGATTTATTTTTGGTTTCAGCAGGATATGAAGCCATAAAGAAAATATCCATTATGGTGTACCCAAAATACTGGAAGACTTAACATATGAGGAAATTTCAACCATTATAAAAAGAAACATGCCAAAAAAAAAAAAGTTGGTTATTGCAAACCCAAATGAAATTGTAATGCAATATTTACAGAGATTGAAAGATGCATCAAGATATTGCAAATTTGAAAAACTGGGTTCAAGAGAAATTTCTGTAGAAAATGAATTGATCCTTCAAAGATTAATTGAAGGCATGTATCACATTATATACAAACATAAGATCCTAGAGCAGCTACAAGCGAGTGATATGAATTTAGAGGCAAGTGTAGAATTCTTGCAGCAATTAGACTTAATTAATGAATTTAATAATTCTAAAAACAATGTAGAAGAATACAACTAAAATCCTAATTAAGTGCAAATATTGCAGCAAAGAACATGAAAGAAGCAAAAATAAATGCCCATCCCTAAAAAAATTATGTTTAAACTGTAAAAGAATCAATCTGTGTGCACATACAAAAACAGAATAAAAAGGGTAGAAAATATAACCCCTCATACTGAAAATACAGAAGTATATTCAATAAGAACATCAGTAAAAGGTAGAGAGACAGTAAAATTGAATGGCACAACTTTTCCCATGCAGGTTGACATGGGGAGTAATGTTACCTTGACCCCAAGGAATTTCTAGGGAAAAAATGGGTAAACCCAAATTAAGAAGACAATCTTAATTTAAAACAATTTGATGGATCTGCCATCAAACCTCTAGGCTCCTTTGAAGGAACTTTCAAGACAAAAAACGTTTTGAGATTATTCCTATTTCTGTTGTATAAAATATCATGGATTCCTGAGAATAGACGTTTTAAAATTAATAAACTGTATAAAGTCAGAAGAACCTGACACTGGACTATTGAAAGGATATAAAGTGAATATTCGTCTAAAAGAAAATAGTCACCCAATTTATTTTGAATCTCAAAAAATACCTTTTCACAGTCTATCCACAGTAGTTGCAAAACTAAAGAAAATGTTAGAACAAGGCATATTGGAGAAAGTTACCCAGGGTGATAGTATTTGGGCTTCACCAATTGTTGCGATACAAAAGACCAATGGCGATTTGAGGACATGCAGGGATTACAAAGTAGGTGTGAATCATCAGATATGATCTGATTCATTCCTCTTACCTAACATAGAAACAACAAGTCATGAATTAGCAAGAAAGAAATACTTTGCCAAGAACTGACCTGAAATTGGCATATAACCAAATAGAAATTGACAAAAAATTTAAAGAAGTCACTACAATTAATACTCCGATAGTTTTACTAAGATGGATTTGTCTTTCATTTAGAGTTATAATTTCAAGTCATACTTTTCAAAAGGCAATTGAAAAAGTTCTATTGGAGGAGGTAAAAAATATAATCATATATCAAAATGATATAGCCATAGATGCTTACAGTAAAGAGGAATTTAAAAAAAATAACAAATTTTAAACAAATTAAAAAATGTTGATATGACAATAAATAGCAATAAATGTGAGTTAAATTATGACAAAATAGCATATTTGAGATACCAAGTATGTAAAGAAGGAATTTAAATATTGGAAGCATCTACACCAAAAAATAAAAAAAGAATTAGAATCCTTTTCGGGATTGACATATTTTTATAGCAAATATCTATCTAGATACAGTGGCGTAATAGAAGCCTTTGCAGAATTATGGTAAAAGAATACAGAATTTAAATGGACTCAAACACAAAATATAGCTTTTGAAAGTTTAAAAAAGGTACTATTGAGAAACCAATTGCAAAAATCTTTGATCCAAAAAAAGAAGTGACATTGACTACAGATGGAAGTGAACAGGCTGTAGCTGCAATTTTATCGAGGTCATCCAATAATTTACCCATCAAGAAAATTAATGCCAGCTGATGTTAACAACTCAATTATTGAGGAAGAAGCATTAACAATAGTATGTAGCACAGAAAGAACTCAACTTTTTTTTTTTTTTGTTAGGACAAAAATTTTAGATCACAAACCTTTAGAGCTTATATTTAACCACAGAAAGTAATTATCAAAAGTCACATCTTTAAGATGGGCTATAAAACTCATGGCCTTTGATTTTGACATTTACATACATAAAGGGGAACACTATTCCACATAGGGATGCGCTATCCAGACTAAATTTCAACAGTAAAAAATTAGAAACATCTGAAAATTCCAAAGATAAAATACTGCACCGAGTTGAAACAAACATTACTTCTAAATCATCTCAGAATAGAAACCATACAAGATCCAGTGTTAAATAGAATTTCAGATGCAATAAAAAGAAACACATGGAGCAATTGTTCAATGGTAGAAAGACCCTACAAAGAATAAAGAGATAAGTTAACTGTAGAGAAAGGCATACTATGCAATAGAGATATGATAATGTCCCTACAAAGTTTAAGAAAAGAACAACTAAAAGGTGTACAATGATGATGTACATTGTGGCATAACAGCAACACAAATGAGATTAAAATTACAATGATGATGGCCAGGATATTCTTGAAATGTAGAAAGAAGACTATGTAAAAAGGTGCCCCCCTCCCAAAAAAAAACTTTCGGCAAAACAAAATTTATTCATGCCCTAAAGAAAAAGAACCATTAGCTTGGGTAAATATAGATCATGCCCATATTAAAGGCATGGAGCTATTTTTACTTTTAGTGGACTCATTTTCAGGTTGGCCCAAAGTAATTAAGGTTGCTGACAGAAAAACCACCACAAAAAACAAATATTAAGAACAAGGAATGGGGTGCCAAAAACTTTGGTCTCAGATAATGCACCAGAATTTTGTGCCTGTGGCAAAATTTGTGCTCGTGGCTAAAACATATTAAATGCATTCCATATAAAACACCACCCTACCACCCATAATAAAATGAAATTGCAGAAAGAATGATGCAGACTGTGAAAATAGGACTAAAAGCATTTTCCCCATTTAATGATAATATAGTGAGTTAGTTATCAAGATTATTAAGCTATAGGATAATTCTACATACCAGCAGACTACAAAGTCCCTCCACATTAATAGGTAGACAGATTAGAGTTCCCATAACAATGTCATTTTCAACAAGTGAAAGTGTATGGTATAAAAAAACAACGAATCTAATCCAGAGAAGGTGAACTTTGTCGTACAGAAAGGACACAACACAGCAATACTAACGAAAAATAGATAAAATATACTGTGGTCCATGTGGATCAATTCAGAAGTAAAATGGAACCCAAGAATATAGAAATGGACAAAGAATCTTAAGATGAAGAACATAATAGGGAGGGGAGGGGACTAATGAATCCAGTAGTGAAACCTAACCTTATATGGATGTTAATGACCAGAAATCTGATGAGGAGTCAGAAGAGGAAAATGAACTCAGACTTAGGTCCTCTATAAGAAGAAATCAAGATACACACCAAGAAAGTTTAGATTCCCAAGAATAATTAAAAGTCAACAATCAACAAAGGGCATAAGGTCATTTCGGTTCAGGGAGGTGTAGTATGAGGTGTAAATGAGGTACTGCTATAAAAGCAGTACACCAAAGTGAATGCCAGTTGAGCGACCATCTGTTGACCTGACAACATCTATTCCAGAGATTACTCTACTTCATGACACTAATATTAGCTTAAAACCTCTGAAATGTAATAAAAATATTTTTCTTTCTGTCCATAAATTATATTGAAACATGGGTAAATGGAAGGATCTAATAACTGCTGAAAAACAGAAAATAACAAAGTTATTGAATGACAGAATGTCCACACTGGAGATATCAAAGGAGCTTTGCAGAGATCATTGAATGATAAAGAAAGCTGTTGAAAATATGTTGAAAACTTGAAGCAAAGGAAAAGGCTTTAAGAACTTGCTTCCTCAAGATGAATGTAAACTAAAGTGAGTTACAGCGAAACAACCACTTTGAACCAGTGCACAGTCTTTGAAAAGGCTGGAATTGAAGGACTCAAGAAGGAAAAAATTGCAGAATACTTTGTTAATTGAGATCTTTAAAAAAATTTCTGAGGGAACCTCCTCTCACTAAAGCAAGTATTTTAAAGCATCAAAATTGGGCCAAGAAATACATGAAAATTGATTTTTCTAAAGTAATTTTGACAGATGAATCTCTGTGACATTTGATGGACCTGATGGTTGGGTCAAAGAATAAATTTTATCCAATTCAGATGTGCCTGTGGCTAAAAGAAGGCAACAAAGAAGCAGTAGTGTTATATGGGCTGGAATTGTCGACCAAAACATTGTTGGACCATTCAAAGTCAATGAAGGAGTTAAACTGAACAGTGCTAACTACTGAAATTTCATGAACAAGACTTTCTTTCCATAGTACAAGTCCCAGCTTCTCAGTTTCAAAGTGAAGTGTGTATTTATGCATGACAATGCTCCTTCTTATGTATCTAAGCTTACCCATGAATTATTTGATCATAAAAGATTTACAGGGCAGAAAATAATGAAATGGCCACTATCAAGTCCTGATCTGAATCTGATTGAAAATCTATGGTCAATTGTGAAGATGAAATTATATGATGGTGGCAAACAAAATAACAGCAAAGCAGGCCTTTGGGAGGCAATTAAAACTACCATGTCAGAAAGTGAACTTGCTGAAGTAAACAAAATTAACAAACTCAATGGATAATAGATTAGTGGCTGTTATTGAGAAGAAAGGTCACTATATTAAAATGTAAAGGATTCAAAAACTTATCATATGTGTTTGTTATTTGTTCTATCATAGGTGTTGATCAATTTTTGATGATTTTATTACCTTTTCATTGAAGTTAAATCTGATTATTTGGTTTTGTCTAACAACTTCAGACAGCAGTTTTTTAGAATACATCAAATAATTTCAATAAAACATTGATACTACCTAAAATTTTAACTCAGGCTTTGTTTTGACATCTAAATTGAGTGTTTAAAATTTGACAATTTTTTTCCAAATCAAATTTGAATTATTGAAATTTATATGATTTGCTTAATAACTTCAGACAGGGTGTAGTCAGCTTCTATGTTGATCTGTCCCAGTTGAACTGGAGACAACATATCATAAACATTGACCTCCAGCTTTAAAATACTATGACTAGATATTGTGAAGCCCTGTACTTTACCCATGTTTTAAGTTATTAAGAGCATAACAATGCCAAATGGTGATTCTTTTAAGTAGATTTACTGTATTTGATAGAAAGACAAGAATTTCCCCCTCATTATTAGTATTATGGAGGGGCACTATTACGACTGAACAGTGAATTTGATCCTCACTGGGTGCACCATACTTTGGGTTTTATGCTATGCTTAGAAAACCACCATTATTAGTATTATGGAGTTAAGTACAATTATTGGTAATTTATGCTTTTTGTGTAAACATTAGCCTTCCAGATAGTTATATTTTGATTATAAGACCAAGGTTATGTTAAGAGTCATTTTTGGAGAAAAAAGTTGGTTTTCTATACCATGAAATGTGACCCTTTTTGATTACGCCATAATGACAGTTATTTTCCTGCCTAAAACTAAACAAAATAAGTGCAAATAGCAACAAAATTTTTTCTTAATAGTAATATCAAATAAAACAAACATTTTTCAATTGAAACAGTTGTATATTTCCTTAGTGGTACTAAAAGTTGATGTTCAAGCCTTTGTAAAGGCCAGAATATTGAATGATGATTTTTAAGATCAGCTTATTGACTCGGGAAGATTGGCAGAATACAATTTTCTTCTTTCATTTTTGGCAATTTGGTAAAGTGGCAAAGTAAACAAAGTTTTAATAAACCTTTTTTTATTAAATAAGATTTATAATGAAATTAAATAAGCCTCAAACATAATATTGCAATACTAGGATTACATACATAACAAAATATATATAACATAAAAATAACATACGTAACAAAGTAGTCAGAGAGAAATTCTTGGTCCACCTTCAAGGCATCTATGACTTCTACTTTTAAATTTTCTAATTCCTTCTGATCTTCACTTTTCTGTTCAGGGTCAGGACGACGTTTGTGCTTCTCCATGAATTTGAACAAGACTACAGAAAAATTAAAATATTTAAATAACAAAATAAAAATGATTTATCTATTAACAAATGACATCTCCCAATAACTAAATTATCATGTCATCATTTTATTTTTTTTAATACTATGTCATGCGATAATTCATTATTCAAACGAACATCCTTACCTTTGCTGAATAACAGAAGTATGATAGCAAAGCGGCAATCCTAATTGTCAATGTTCATTAAAAATAACAATTTTGCATTTATAATTAATGTACTTATTTTATGATCTATTTTTAAACTAGAGATATGCCACAGAATTTCTACACATCCTGTTAATGTTCAAAACAAAAACCTAAGTGTAACCAGAGAAAAGAAATAAAAGGTAGATTTCTTTTGTTGGAATTTTTCAAGAAGAATATTTTAAGAATATTGTACACCCATCTTGATATGGATCTAAAATTGACATTCTTTCAAATTAACAACTTCAAATTTTATCCAATGAAAAACAAAATACATGTATTTTGTTTGAGGAATATTACAGATGACCAACTGGAATACTGAAGATTGCATTTGGATGAATGCACATTAAAAACAAACAAAGATCAGAGGTAGATAATAAATATTAATTTAATCATCATGGCATATTTCCTGGTGGAAAGAGGATCTAGCCACTGGGTGAAAATCTCCATATCATTATTTTTTGCTTATTTTACACATATTAATGTTATACATGATGATCTTTATTAAAAGCCATATCATCATTCAACTCTCACTCAGAATTGGCAGCCTATTTCAAATTTCATTCCACTGGGAGCAATGTTTTTTTAGTTTCAGTTTGGGTTCGTAGTCGTTCACTGCTGTAATACAGCTTAAGTAATGTTTGTTTTTTACATTAGTGATAACTTTAGCTTATTTAACTGAAGTAAGTATAATTTTATTTATTTTCCTTTGGATTTACTATATTATTTTATGTTTTCATTGCAAAAACAAACATTTTTTCGCATGAAACTCAGTAAAAAAAATGTAACTTGGGTTTTGGAATTTAACATTTTTCATTTAAAGTTAATATTCTTCAATTAAATTTTTATTCATAAAAGCAAATGCACTAATGATCAACTTTATTCATTTTTGTGTAATCCATATTTCTGTTTCTAACAAATGAAAAACGTACCATGGTTTTTATATCAGAATTTACCAATTTTACTTGATTTTGAGAAATGATTAATCCAATTTTTTTTAGTCTTTTTTATTACAAATGTTAGAAAGTCTCTCCCAAGAAAGTTAATTTTAATAGTTTTATGTTTTTAAATTTTTCTTCCAAAGACGTTTTTCTTCAGTTCTGTTTTTACACCATGAAATTTAAAAATATTATTTGTTACATAAAGTTAATTTAATATTTTTCTCTATATTGTTATCTATAACAACAAATATATTGATGCATTTTTAAGAGTCAATTTTTCTCCTTCTATAATGATAAAAAAGTACCTTTATAACAAAACACATTTTTTTGTAAGAAAATGATTGATTTTAAATCATTGTTATAAATTGTGGTTAAAAATGATGCATTTCAATACTACTCAATGATCTTGCTGATGATGTGACTTCCATCTTCTGGCATTTAAATCAGAGGGTAAAAAATTTAAGTGGGGTGAGGTTGAGATGTGCTCCCCCCCCCCCACACACACACACCAAGACCCCCTTTGATCAAAATGAAATATACTTATCCAAGTACCCTTGTAGTTTCAGAATATATATCTTTATGGGGGTCTATTTCCAAAACCTTAGGAGGAGTTCGATAACAAACAAACAGAAAGACAGACAGAGGCTGTCAGCCTAATAATATTTCTAAACAAGCAGGGATTTCCCAGCATTCCTTGGAAGATTTCTGAATAACAGTTTATTGACAATTTATTGATATTTTTCAGCCATCTTATGGAAAATAATTTTTATTCAATCTTTAAAAAAATAAACATTTTATTTCTTGATTTAAATACTAACATAAATACTCTGTTAATGTTGTTTTCAAACAAATCAAACTTAGAGGAAAGTTTCTTAATCTTTTTTCAAATTATTATTAATGAAAAATAATATATTTTGATGGAACATGGTTTTGACAAAAGTTTTATTTTCAATCTATTTAATACTATAGAAAAATATGCTTCCTGGACAGATAGACAAAAATAATTTTCAATTGCTTTTTTTTTTTTTTGCTAAGATTAATTCTTTCGTGTGTGCACACACATAGTAAGGACCATTAAAGATCATGCCTGGCGTTCTTGTTGTCTACATTCACAACATTTTTTTATTGATAGAATATATTATCATCAATAATGATTGTTTGCCAATGTCAGATGTTATACTGCAAATAAATTAAAAATTAGTTGCTTTTAACTAAAGTAAGAGTGGCTAAACTTGCTTAATCTAAGATCCATGTACAATAAATTTAAGATGTTTTGAAAACTGAAAGACATCAACATTCCTCTGCAACACTTGCTGGTCTGAAATTTATTTAATCCTTTCTAACTATTCCTTCCCTCAAAGAATAAGGCCACAATCAAATCAAAATTGCATTTAAAACCTTAAATATTTTTTAATAATGATGAATATTGAGTTTATGTATTAAACAAGAGGGTCAAAGTTCATATCCAGTAAATAATAAAAAAAAAAGGTTTAATTTTTGTTTCTTGTTTAACCTTTTATATTAATTGTAATGAAAAAATTCCCAATTACTATAATTTAGCAAAATTAGTTTTAGTATTTGGAAGATTAAAGGTTATGGAGATATAGCACTTTCAGTGGTAGAAACTTGAGAAATTATGCATTTACAATACATACCAAGTATACTTTTTAGGAGATACAAGTGATTGTTCAATTTATTAATAAAGATATTGTAGCCTGATTTTAAAAAAAATTAATCTAATACATATAAATAAACAATTTTCTGTCTGATGCAATAATGGAAATTTAAATAATCCAACCCAATCTGCTTTTCTTTCATCTAATGCAATGAATTCTTTCAAATAAAGTTGGATAAAAAGCCTCACAACTTTTGTTCATTTTAGGACAATGGAACAGAAAAATTGATGAAATGAAATTTTGATTTCTTGTTTCACCTTGCATGATGAAATAAGTCTTTGGTGTTCTTTTCAGGCGTTTTTTGTTTTCTTCTGTGGTCCAGTCAAAATGGAGGGCAGCATCAAAACGCACAAATTCTGTTATCTAATAAGAAAAGCAGAAATACAGATTCATTAAGTAACATAACCGATTTTAAAGTATCATTTACCTGAAAGTGACAAAGCATAAAAAAGACATTGTATAGCTGATGATGTTCTTAAATTTTAAGCTCGAAAAATGCACAACATTTTTAGTTCATTTTTAATTATTTTATCAATACTTTTTATTCTTTGTTCTCCTTTATTTTTTCCCTTATCCAAATCAAAATCTGATTATATGTTTGTTCTATTCATTTTCATTATTCTACACCGATTTATTCAAAATGGTATCCTCGTTTTTTACTGTTTTTTTAAAAAGGTAGCTGTCAAATTTAATAGCCTCTGAGAATTTCTAACCAAACCCTTTCTTTAAATCACAGGGTACAACACCTAACATATCATGATTATAACAACTGAGATAAGGATACTAGTTTGAATAAATCAGTATAAAATAATAAAATTTCAGACAGTAATTTTGATTAATTTCTTCATTTATTTTATTCTTATACATTGCTTTTCATCACATATTTTAGCCAAGTCCACATTAAATTCAAAATTCCAAAATATTTTGACAAAAAGAATGGATCATCAAAAAAAGTGTTGTAATAAAAACCAAAAAAAAAAAAAAAAAAAAAAAAAAAAAAAGAACTGGATCCCAATTTATTTTATAATGCAATTTCTATTTGTAGGTCTATTATGATAAAACAAAAATGTACAAATACATTCTAAATGATATTTTTATGTAAAAATGCATTGAAAATAAAAACGAAAAAAAATTATCAGTAGTCAAGAATCAATAAAAGACAAGAATAGCAGCGAGTATCAGTTGCCTGAAAACTTGCTTCATTGAAACCTTTGAATAGAATCTTCACTTCGTTGAATAGTTCATTTCACTGAAAAAAAAAAAAAAAAAAAAAAACTCAAGGGAGATAACTTAAAGGGAAATAACTTTTGTTTATTTACGATAATGAATAACTTTTTCTCCATAAATTTACCACTGAAGTCTTCTTTCATGTAATGACGTTGCTTACAATATTTTGATTTTATTCTAGAAATATTTAAAAAAAAAAAAAAAAAATACATTTCGATATTTGTCCTACCCAAAATACAAGGGTAAATAAATTACAGATTTTAAAAGGTCTTCTGTATTAATTCATATTAATTTCTCTTCTTACTTATTTTAATGTAGGTACCTCCACTTTTTTCATGGAAAAAAGCATAGCATAATGAAAAGATCCCAAACTCAATAAAAACAAAGTTTTGTTGTCAAAATGTTTATGTTATTAAGAGGAAAGACCAAAGTATATTTTTATTATTTTTGAAATTTTTTAGTCCTTTCTAGCACATTCGAAATTTTGGTTAAAAATCTTGTTCTGTTTACGTCAGTAGTGGAAGTAATAATTACAATAAGTTTTTTGCTCTTTTTCCTGGTAAAAAAAGATATTAATTTGGAAATTCTTGCAAAAAATCAAATAATTGTCAGATTTTAATGAAATTTCAGGACATATTCAAAAATGAATTTTTTTGAAAATCTTGGTAAAAGAATATTTTTTTTTACATGTTACCACCCACTTACTTAATTTCATGAAATTTCAAGAAATTCAATTTTTAGGGTGAGATTTTGTTTTTTTATTAGTTAAAAGCAGGACTCCTTAGAGAATGTAAATCATCAATTTTTTTTGTAAAACACTTAACCCATTCACTGAAAATCTGCTCTGAATTGTAAAATAAAAAAATGCAATAAAACTATTATATTATTTAATTAGAAAAACTAATTGCTTTTATAAATAAGATTTATCATGGATACTATTGTTTTAAGAAAAATTTTTTTGATGAATAAAGTTTTACAAGAATTGTTTTCATTTTTTTAAACTTTAATTAAATAAATTATAATATTAAAAAATCATTTAAAATTCTGCATTACTTCAAGGCGGCAGTTTGGTGATATTGTTATTAAGTGAAAACTACATTTACAAATCAAAAATTGAAAAGCTCATAACAGTTTTTTGTACCCAAATATTTCTAAAAGAATTTTAAAAAATTTTAGTGTATAAACGTTCCTAATTTCTAACTATGGTAAGCCACAAATGATAATATCCTTTAAAAGGTCACATTATTTAAGATAGGTACCTCCACGAAATCGCTAAAAAAGAGCATAGCTTGATGAAAAAGACACCAAACTTGCCGAAAACTAAATTTTATTCTCTAAATGCTTAAGTTATTATTAAGAGGAAAGACCAAAGTTTTTTTTTAATTATTTTTAAAAAATTTTCCTTCTTTTTAGAACATTCTAAATTTTGATTAAAAAACCTTTTTTCTATTTGTATCAGCGGAACTAGTAAATAACAGAGACAATTTTAGCACGTTTTTTTGGTATGACACATTAATTTGAAAAATCATGCAAAAATAGAAATAATTATCGGATGTTAATGAAACTTTCAGAAACTATTCACAGATGATCGAAATTATTATAAATATGTTTTTTTATGAAAGTCATGGTAGAAATATTTTTTTAAATATTTATTACCCCACCATAACTAATTTTATGAAAACGCTAGAAATTCGATCGCATCGGTTTTAGTGATTACAATAATTAAAAGCACAGGGCTTTGAGGAATGCAAATCATGTTTTTTTTTGTTTTTAATTGGATACGCAGTACCTGAAAATCAGCTCTGAATTGTAACATACAAAACTCAATAAAACAAATATATTATTTAATTTCAAATGCTTTTATTTGCTTTTAGTTGTTTTTATGAATATGGACAATATTTTCTGAAAGCAAAAAAATTTTCTCGATGAAAAATGAATTTTTAATACAATTATTTGTTATTTCATTAATTATAGTAGATTTTACATTTAAGTTGTTAAAATATTATAAAATTAGTTAAAAGCCGCATCGGCTTTCATAAGTGTCCTTATGAGATAGATCTTTTTTTAGCACGTTGTAAATTGTATCATTTTGACTAATCAGAAGATCCCCAGTAATTAAGAAATGTAATTTTGTGCTTATAATCGAGCTGTAATTATAAAATACGGAAGACCAACCAGAATATAATTAAGTTGCGTTATTTGAGTTAAGCATTGTTCTCGCTGTTAAGGCTTTTACTTTTTGTAAACACGTGAGGAGAAGTTAATTTGATTTTTCAATTTCAACTGAGAAGGGTACCTACAAGTATCAGTATCATCTTATGAAATTTATATGATCTTATTTTTTATATTAATCTCAGTTACGACATTTTTCCATAAATGAAATATCAACATTAATAATAAAATGAATGCAAATACAAATAACAGTAGAATGTAATAAATGTACATAAAATTATAGTATTTTATGTACAATTCTGATAAAATTTCATAAGAAAGGTACCTATAAATTAATTAGATACCTTTCTTAAGAAATATGAAATTTAATGTCACTCTTAACAGTTTTATTTTAATTTCTTTACAATATATTTCCCATAAAGCATCATAAACGTAAAGGTGAAAGCTAAGTACAAAAAAAAAAAAAAAAAAAAAAAAATTAGACCGCTGAAAGTTTTTCGTTAAAAATAACGGGTAAATAATTTGTTCACGTAAATGTAAATTATTTCCCTTTTCTCCTTCCGTAGAACAAATTAGCCTCATGGAATTCGTAAATATATCATTCATCACATGTCAAAAGACACGAAAGTTTATGACCTGCTTTGTTTTATTTTCAAATTACATTTTTTGGCACAAAAGCTAAGTTAAGTTTGGTTCAAAATATTTTAAATAAACATTATAATTTCTGATTTTCTTAAAATAAGTTTTGAAAAAATGATAATTGATATTTAAAAAATTTCAAAGTCAGATTTTCAGTTTTTTTTAAAATGGAAAAAATGGTCAATTTTGCTGACTCAAAAAAAAAATAGATTTTTTAACGAAAATTTCGGACGTGCTAGGAACGATTAAAAAATGAAAAAAAATACCCCAAAAAATACTTTGACCTTTCCTCTTAATAATAACAAACATTTAGACGATAAAATTTTGTTTTTTTCAAGTTTACGCGTCTTTTTCATCATGCTATGCTCTTTTTTTAGCGATCTCGTGGAGGAACCTAATTTAAGAGATTCTGTCATTCTATAATTCTTTCACTTTCATTATTCAGTTCTGTTTCATGGTTAACATCTTTGAAAATCATCCCTTCAAAATTTCAAAGTAAGTTTTATTACTTTTTAATTACTATTTCACTAAATATTTTTATTTTATGTATGTATTTATTTTAGTTTGGGTCATACTTCAATTAAGTAATTTTTTTTGTTTAAGTTAGTAAACTTAAGTACCTAGAGACGAAACCCAAATTTCATAAAGCATCTTCAAACGTAATGTCACTAAAGCTAAAAGAAAAACAAGACCTGTCATTAAGAAATGCTTGTATATCACTTTTTTATGCCATAAGTAGGTAATGTTTATTTCAAATCAGATTAATTTAACTTTAAATTTGTTAATTTTACTCAAATGACATGTCACAAATATATATTTTATTTTGGGAAGATTTTTAAAACTGATAATTTTATTTTGTTTACAAATTTCTTACAATTAAGAAAATGGTTACTTGTAAGATTTTCTGAAATCGGCCAAAAAGTTGCGATTTTGATCTATATAATTTCTATTTGAAATACACCAGAATATTTTAGTTATTGGAAATAATAAATATCATTTAGCTTTCAATTAAAATTAAAATAAAATCTTCAAGAATGCTTTTTCATTTTTAAACATTTTTTAAACTTTAGGTATCGAAAATTCAGTGGAGGTACTTATTTTAATGATTATACTTTAATAGCTTTTTATTTATTTATATTTTATTTTCATTACCAACCCATGCAAAAAGATAAAAAAAAAGACTTTCCTAGCTTCAACTGATTTCAACATTAAACAATGTTTTTAAACAAATCAACTGATTTGTTGTCAATCCTTTATTATCGTAAATAAGCAACAATTAAATTAACGAGTGTCATTTTTAAACGATGCATAATTTAAAAGAAAAAAACATTCCGTTATAACAGTTATCTCCCCTTTATGTTTTTATGCTTTGATATTTCAGCCAAGAGAAGATTCAATTTAACACTTTCATTGAAGCCAATTTTCAGACAAATGATATTCACTGTTTATAAAGCAGACCACAATTAAATGTATAATAAAGCATTATAAGAAGAAATACTATGAAGAATGCAATATATTTTAGTATCTGTTCAATTGTTTAATTTTATTTCATCAGAAGATCAAAAAGGGAAAAAATGGCAGACTTCAGTCACTGACCTTTTTCACAACAATTGTTTCCAATACTTCTTTTTTCGCTTGCTTTGCCTTTGGTTCTCCATTTTCATTGTCATCTGTTTCCTTAGCCTTTGGCTTGGGAACTTCCCTGCAAAAATTTGACAAAAAGATTATTATTATTATAAATTTTTATTATTATTATTATTGATGATGATAATGAGACAGACAACCAGATTCTATCACTGTCACATAATCAAGGATAGAACTAACCTGAAATGCAGGATCTGTGGAAAATATGATCAAACTGTCAACTATATTATCTCAGGATGTCTGGAACTGGCAAAAAATGAATATACCCACAGACATAACAAGATAATGACATATGTGCACTGGAAGATATGCAAGAAGCAGAAAAGCAAAACCACTGACAGATTGTATGAGCCACAGTTACCCAAAATAACGATGTAATCATCCTCTGGAATATGCCAATTCAAACTAACAGGGAAATAAAAGCCAACTGACTGAATATTATCAAAAAAGACAAGAAATTCAGGAAGTGTATGTTTATTGACATAGTATAGGTATATTATTAAGAGGAATGACCAAAGTATTTTTTTTTCAAAATATTTTTAATCCTTCCTAGCATGTCCGAAATTTTAGTTAAAAAACGTTTTTTGAGTCAGTGAAATTTACATAAAATCAACCATGTCAGCCATTTTTGACAACTTTGTCAACAAAAGTGAAATTCTCCATTTAAAAATCTTGTAAAATTCAATTATACTTTTTCAAAAGTTATTTTAGGAAAATTAGAAAATTTAAAGTTTATTTAATGTAATTGGAAACAAACATTACTTAATTTTTTAGTAGAAAAAATTTAGTTGGAAATAAGAGAAGCATGTCTAACAGTGGTGATTGGTTTTGGAGGTGTGAATCAACATCTACATCAATGTATTGACAACTAGTGTCTGGGCAATTTATCAAACAGGACAGAAGTGACAGTATTTTTGAATTTTAAGTGAACAAGATTATTTAACTATAAAGTAATTCTTGCTTTTTGTATATGGTAAGGTTCTCTGCTATAGCAAAAGTGGTTTGCTAATGCTTTGTAATGTACTAATAGCTTGGTCTAAACCAGGCATGGACATCCTTTTTACCTTCAACAAAGTTACAAAATTCAAGAAAATTCATTGTTCATGTATGTGGTTATGCACGAGAGAATGTGCAAGTGAACAAGTGAGAATGAAAAGAAACAAACAACATTTTAATAAACGTTATTTTCCCCATGAAATTAGGCAGGCTATTCAGAAAGCTGATCGGGCCGCATGTGGCCCATGGGTCACAGTTTGCTCATGACTGGTTTAAACATTACATGTTTATATAGACAAAAAACTTTTACCTGTATATGACTGCTGAAAAAGAGGGGCAGGGAGCTAATAAGCCTTCTACATCTTTTATGTTATCAAATACAATAATCTTTTTACTTTTTTTTTTTTTTTTAGTTGTGTACATTTTACAATATTTGATATAATTACAAGTGTGTGCTGGAAAGTTCTAAACCTAATCTAAACCCTAAAAAGTGATTAAGGACCAAACATTGGGAGGTGGTGGAGGTGGGGGGGTTCTTAGACAGGCTAAGAACTCTTTAGCAAAACACAAACGAACATATTGTAGTGCAAAGACAGAGGTGACAAGCAATACAAAAAGTTCTGTGTACTACTTAAATATACTGGTCCACCTATAACAAATTAGGGAATTTTTTTTTTTTTTTTTAAAGAAATAATTTTTGTTATTCTTTAGACTTTTACTTAGGCCCCAACATTTGTTATTGATTTAGAAAGGGGCTCCAGTTTATATTATTGATACAATGTTGAATTGATCCCTGACTTTGAAGAGTTATTGGTTAAGTCACTTAACTGTTATTTACAAATTTTAAGTTTGAAAATGTGCTAACATCATTGATATCTGTTTTTTTTTGTTTTTTTACATTTTCAGAATTTAACTTTTTTTAATCATTTTTTTTTTCAAACTTTTTTTCATATGGGATTTTTTGGAAAGCACTTGAACAATTATTTGTGGTTCATAATTATTTATTTTAATTTAATAAAATTAAATGCAGAATTTTATTAATTTATATAAATTTTTGTTCTTTCCTTAAAAATGTCTATATACATTTGTTCATTATTTAAGAGAAATCTTTATGTAACACCAAACACAAAAAAAAGTTTGTTTTCCTGTGCAAGACACTAGAGTCAGTAACTCTGTAAAAGTCAGGAATCAATTCAGCACTGTATTGATGTTATAAAGAGGACAAAATACTTATAAAATCAATATTTTTGGATTCTGACAAGAACCGCAACCTAAGGAAGCTCAAAAGAATACTAATCAAAAAAAAATTATTTCAAAAACTTTTCTTCCTATTCTTTATGAGTGGACCCATATATTCAAGTAGTGCCAGTATCTGTTTATATTTGACCAAAATGCAAACTAACACAGAAATATTGCAGGAAAAATACTTTAGAAAATGTTTAAACTTACTCTGCATATTCATGTTTGCCAAGATCAGAAAACATGTAACCAAAATATCCAAAAACGTCCCCAGCAAAGAACTGAATGTTTTTGTTGTGGCAGATTTTGTTGATTCTGTCCAAGACAGTCTGGGTGCTGCAAGTGACACAGATCACATTGAAGGAGTAGAAGAAGTCATCGGGTTTCGTAGCAACATCCTCAGTGTCGACAGTGATCTGCACCATCGGGTTCAGCTTCTGCGTGGCTTCCTGCGATGAAACAGCGCGTTAAAAGAGAAGACCGAGAAAAAGAAATTAAATCTCAATAAATCCAATCTTAAAATGAATGATATTGTGTCAGGTCAATCTACAAGTGCTACTGGTACCATGTAACCCAATACTACCTGTCGCATTAGCCAGGACATTGGTAACTAAACCAGTTACCCCACCAGGCTTTCCTGGTGAGGAGAGTAGCTAGACACCTAGCAGGATTTAAAAACATGACCCGTCAAATGACAGATGAACCTTCTTGTCGAATCAATAGTTTATCTAGCACTACTGGGGTATAGACTTGGCAAATAGCTATCTAGGCAGCCAGTGCAGTGATGTAAATGTACATTGTCATAAAAATCAAAATGGTGGTACATTTTTGTGGAACAAATTCCAGAGAGGATGTTTCCCTATCCACTACAATCTTAACCTCTTCTTCAAGCCCTGTGTCAATCAGTATCTATTGTACAGACTGTCATTATTTACAATTCTCATGCCCATAAAACAACCCCGTTCAATAACCCTCTACCTTGAGTGGCTCCTGCATCTTGTATTTGGTAAACAATAAAAAAAAAAAAAAAAAAAAAAAAAAATATAATGTCCATTTATGACATTTGATATGCATAAATCACTAGGCCTACAATATCAGAAATTAATTTAGTTTTTCAGTCAAGGAAATGTGACACTATTTTTTGTTAATGCCAATACTCATACTAATAAAAAATATAGTCAATGTGACAATTCACTTTGATTAACTAGTTCTTTCACTTAATAATGTTTTTTGCATCAAGTACGAAATAATTTAACAGTCCTCTATATATATATATATATAAAAGTGAACATTTAAGTCAACACAAAGAGGCGACAGACTGTTTCATGATAGAAGCAATTATCAGGCCACATGTGTTGGGTTTTTTCTTGACTATTATATATCTATATATTTATCACTTTAAATGTTATGTGGATACTCATATTCGAGTAAACATTCAGTTTATTTATTAAACAGTATATTTATTAATTTTCAGCTACCAGCCTGAATATGAGTATCCAGTAAAAATAATATTTAAAGCAGTTCTTCTCAACCTTTTCAAGCAATGGCACACCAAGAAGCAAATAAAAATATCATGGCACATTTAGCCAAATTCTTAAAAGGTATAGACTTAAATGTTTTAAAAATACACACACAAATATGTATTTACTTTATTTCAATGTTTCTATTCAACTTATTGTGCATCTTATTCAGTGTGAAGAAACCTGTGTCTGGTGTTTTTTCACGATTTCTTCAATGTTTTGTTGAATGTGCGATCAGCAGACCTTGTTTCTTCTTCCGCTGAGCATAGTCTTTCTCGTTTCTTATTTTTGATGTGATTTAGGGATGATAAATATGTAAAACATTCCCGAGAAAATTGTATTAAAAATAATAAAGCCTTTTTAGTTAATGTGCGCTATTCCTTTTGTATTAAAATCAAAAATGTATCAATGGGGACAGTTGAATGGTTTATTTTGAGCCATCAATTACTAGAAATGGTGGCCAATTCTTCTTCTACACATAACTGAAGTCCAATATTAGAAGGAACATGTATGAAGAGATTTCGAATCCAATCATATTTTTCTCAATGATGGAAAATAAGTTGAATATTAAAACAAAGTATTTAAAATAACATAATCAAAGAATAGTGACAAAAATTACCATATATACTTATGTAACCCTTAAGTTTTCACTTATAAAATATGATTTTATCATGTGAGTTCCTTTTTTTGAGACTAAATTACAATAGACTAGCTTCTTTTCCTCGGTCTCTATCCCATCTTCTTGTTAAAAAAGTAAAAAGAGAATGAGAAAAATATCATTAGTAATGATATACTCGTGTAATCATGTAGAGCCATAAAAAAGGGAATGAGAAACAGCTAAACATCTTATAAACGTAAACAATGGAAAAGATGCTTATTCACTACATTTTTATTTTATAATATGATACCAATATGTGAATATTACATGTATTATTATTGGATACAGTTCAGTAAAACATCAGTTTTATCAAAATAATGTTTATTTTAAATACAGCTCTACTTTTTGACTACTGTAAATGGATATATATTTTAGTCAACAGCATGGTCAGCAGTGTATACATTGATTTTATATCCTATGTATGATAAAACACCCTTAAATTTCAAAATTCACATGATACACGAGTATATACAGTATTTGAAAAAAAAAGTTTAATATTTATTTATTCAAATACTAATGCTGCAGCATTACTACACACACAAACATACATACATATATATATATATATCTCATGACAATGTTTAGTTTTACTAGTGTGCTGGATTACAGCAGTTGAGGATCCCTGATTTAAAGTAATAAAAATCTGTTGGATCCACTAAATAAAAAAATCCATTACTTCTTTAGAAGATTACTATATATACATATGTGTGTGTGTGTGTGTGTATCTACATACATATATACATAGACACCTACTGACATCTGACAGGGTACTGAGAATTTCTCAGCCCAACCCACTTCCTAAAATTTGGATCTGACCAAATGACCAAACATGAGAATTTATTTTTGGAATCCTTTCTCGGTGATGCCAAGATCTTTTCAGCACACCATCATACATACCCATACATAGACACCTGCTGGCATCATACATACCCATACATAGACACCTGCTGGAATCATATACATACATAGACACCCTGCTATCATACATACCCATACTGACACCTGGCATCATACATACCCATACATAGACACCTGCTGGCATAGACACCTGCTGGCATCATACATACCCATACATAGACACCTGCTGGCATCATACATACCCATACATAGACACCTGCTGGCATCATACATACCCATACATAGACACCTGCTGGCATCATACATACCCATACATAGACACCTGCTGGCATCATACATACCCATACATAGACACCTGCTGGCATCATACATAGACACATACACAGACACACCTGCTGGCATCATACATACCCATACATAGACACCTGCTGGCATCATACATACCCATACATAGACACCTGCTGGCATCATACATACCCACCATAGACACCTGCTGGCATCATACATACCCATACATAGACACCTGCTGGCATCATACATACCCATACATAGACACCTGCTGGCATCATACCACCCATACATAGACACCTGCTGGCAATACAAAATAGACACCTGCTGGCATCATACATACCCATACATAGACACCTGCTGGCATCATACATACCCATAGCTCTTCACCATATATGGCAACAAAAGAGTTAAATGACAAAGAAAAACATGTGATCTCGGCGACTTGACAATTTAAGTAGAATTCCAGGTTTAATACAACATCTGCAAATTTAATAAAAGTTATATATGACCTTCTATATTCAACAGAGAAACATCATTGAATCAATTAATTTGCAGTGAATTACTTATGTGAAATAATTGGCCACAGTTATGTGTAATTGAAAAATTCTCAAACAATAAGAGGGGGGGGGAAGAGAACAGGGCAAAAAAATAGTATGAGACAATATATGCTAGTCAAAAGCAAAACCAAGCGATAGTAATATGAGAGTAGGTGGAAAAGTTCATAGGCTGACAATGAAGGAGTGATGTTAGAGCTATGAAATCTTGCATGCATTAATTTCAACTCTTCTTATTAATAACTGCTTTGTTTCTTTCCAGGTAAACTGACATTTGACTGTTCAAAGAAGACTTCAAAAGTAACTAGTAGTGACTTCTCTTGAAACAAAATTTGGTATTGTGGCTTTATCATGTACCTGCAGAAAAAGAATTTAACCCCCAGGCATTCATGCTTGCTACATTAGGGGATGACACTCCAGCTTTATCAACAGTGCAAAAATGGGAGGCTGGATTCAGGAGGGGGGAAGGGAGAGTCTTGATGATGACCAAAGGACATCCTGCAACTGCACACAACTGATGAAATATATTTGGGTTTCTGAAAGGATTTTCTTCATTTATAAGATAACCTTTTCTTTTTGATCAAAGAGCTTTGTATATTGAGGATATAAAGTACACTTAAGGGTCAGTTTTGAGTGGGTATGAAGTGAGTTTAAAATAGTACTAGAGACCCAGTTTTTGCCTTCTTAGTTCCAGGAGTATTTCTTATGGCTCTGTATATAGACATTCTACTGGCACAGTACTACAGGCCCCCAAGTGCCAATTCCAGACCTTGGTGATGGATAGTATTTAATGTTTTCAGGTATGTTTTTCTAACTGATCCATATATAAAAGCATCCAGGGTCCAACTTTGATCTTATTCATAGTCTTTTTATCAGCACCTCAGTCTCTATGTGCTACCATTCTCTGCAGTTGTAAGGCTTTGTTACATTTTTCTCTTAATTTCTTTATATGCACTATAAATGACAGGGTTTTTTTTGTCAAAAATGATACCCATGAACGTACATTCATCTACAGTGGGTATCGTAGAGGCATCAATTTTAAGTATTGGATCATTGTGTAATTTTCTTAGCTGACAGAAATGAATGGTTTGGGTTTTTTCCTTGGAAAACTTAAAACTCATTCTCCGTAGCTCATCGGTTTATTTTGTTGATACATAGTTGGAGTTGCTGTTCTATGGAGTTTATAGATTTGGACCTATAACATTAAAAAGTCATCTACAAAAAAGGAGCAATCTGTTTCAGTGCTGATGTTTTTAGCAACATTATTTATTTTTATGCTAAATAATATGACCAAAAGTATACTTCCCTGTGGAACTCCCAGGTACCATTTTTTCATATTTGACATTGTGAATCCTATTTTCACTGTGATATATCTTTCATTTAGCAATTTTTCTATTATAATTGGTAGTCTACCCTTTAAACCTAAGTTTGTTTTTTTAAATCCCTCGTAATGTTGTGCCATATGCTTTTTCTATGTCAAAGAAGACTACAGATACATATCTACATGCCTCTTTTATAAATGTTTCCAATTTAACTATATTATCCATTGTGCTTCTTCCATTTCCAAA